TTTGGGTACATAATATTTTTTACTAAATTTTCAATAATAAAAAAACACTGCAGAAAAATAATACCGTGGGCGGTCAAAAAAAAAATCACGAATGCAGTATGGCAACTATGAAAGAGAAAGAATAGTTGTCCAATTGCCGCTTTGCCCCAAATATCAAAATTTTTTTACAGTGCACTTTCAGGGAAGTGAAGAGATGGTAGTATGAAGGCAACAGATCAGGGGGATACGGGGGTGGTTCAAAACGTCCCATCCAAACGAGTCCAAGAGTTGTTTCGGGGCATTGGACGTATGGGCTCTGCAATTGTCGTTCAGCAGGCAGACAGACCCCTTTGTCAGAATGCCCACCCCCAATCACCTTAAACAGTTTTAACAACATTCAAAATCCCAACTGGAGGTAGATCATGGCAATGCAAGATTTCGTGATCCCACAGCTAACGAAGCACTGTGAGATGTACTAAGTATTTTAGTCTAACTTATTTTTTATTTTTTTTTTGCCTATGAAAGGTTAGCGATAACGGCATTGACGCTGAAACCAGTAAGAAATTGAAAAAAAAAAACAAATAAAAAAAATTAATAAAAAATTCCATTAAAGCGAAACTTGCATAAATTTATTTAAACTAGTTCTATTTATAAATGTAATCCCTTTTACCCACCTCAGCAAGCAGAATGCACTATTGTTTAACGGAATTATTGAACTGAATTTTTCTTGAAAATCTAAATGATTATAATAAAACTAGTGAGCTAACAGGAAATGTCCTAAATACATACATACATATGTAACAAAATAATTGAGAGTAATGTACGTTAAATGTAGCGGCGGCGGTGGCCAAGCCATAACCTAAAAATTTGTTAAATATGCAATACATTTTTAAATTAAAACGAGTAGAGCGAAACTTATGAAAACTAAAAATAAATATTTAATAATAGTTCTTGTATACACGGCAAAAAATTAACAACCAAAAATCCAACACTTTATAAGTAAATTTAGTACATTATCTTTTGTTAATACACTTAGAAAAAGAAGAGAAAACGAAATGTACTTGAAACTGAGAAAAAAGGCAAATATTCAATCGAAAGCAAAACGGTACATATTTACTTAAAATTTAGATAACAATAAAACCTGAGAGATTATATTCACATAAGAAATGCGATCTTATTGTAATAAATATCATTAATAAAAAAAATTTATAATAAAAACGAAACTATTTAATTAAGCGATTGAGCGTGAAAAATGAAATACATACTATGTTCATTTAAAATACAAATTAAAAAGAAAAGTCATTAACACATTAGCACATAAAATGTAATTGTTCATTCGATATAATAAAAAGAAAAATCTAAATATATATATGAAAATTTAAACCAAAGGAATCACTTAATTTGTGGCAGCTGTGCAATGGGGACTTGAGTCTAACAAGGCAATTCTGGCTAAGATAGTAAAGTCTTTTGTTAGACAAATGGCAAGATTGCTCGAAAGACTTTTGTTATTCTAGCAGTCTTAGAAAAAAAGCTCTCTCATTCACCTCTTGTGGTGAAAAGTTATTTTGAGAGAAAGCACTTGTATAGCATTTAGCTCGCATCGTTACAACAGGATTTTGCTCGGGCGGCGGAATTCTCAATTATTTTTTTCAATTAACATTTTCTTATTTTTTTATTTTCATTGCTATATTTTATGGTTTCAAAAGGAAAAATACATGTATTTCTTTTATTTAATTTAATTTTTAGTAACTTATTCTTTCTTCTCTTAATTGTTTTTTTCTTTTCAGCTTAACTTCCCTCTATTTTTTTTTATTTTATTGTTAAAAAAATTTTAATTTAATTGTTAGAATTTTATTCTATTTATTTCTTCTTTGTTTATTTAATTTGTTTTTTTGTTTTTTTACTTCATTTTTTTATAGTTTTGGTATTTATTTAATTGCTTTAAAAAGGGAGGAACATATTTGTTTTATATAATTTAATTTTTAGGGACATATTTTTTTCTTTAACTATTCTTTCAGTTTAATTTTCATTTAGTTTTTAGATTTTATTTAAAAAAGAAATCATTTAATTAATTGCATTTAGTTTTTCAGAATTCTGTTCTTTTCATTCAATTTGTTTTTCTTGTGTTAATTTAATTTCAATAGTTTACTGATTTAAAACAAAAATACGTTTGTTTTACGTACTACTATATTCTTTTTTGGTTATTTATTTTTTCTTTTATAATTTAATTTTTAGATCTTATTGTTTTAAACAGAAAACAAATATTTTGNTTCTTTTTTTTTATTTAATTTGTTTTTTGTTTTTTAACTTCATTTTTTTATAGTTTTGGTATTTATTTCATTGCTTTAAAAAGGGAGGAACATATTTGTTTTATATAATTTAATTTTTATGGATATATTTTTGTTCTTTAACTATTCTTTCAGTTTAATTTTCATTTAGTTTTTAGATTTTATTTAAAAAAGAAATCATTTAATTAATTGCATTTAGTTTTTCAGAATTCTGTTCTTTTCATTCAATTTGTTTTTCTTGTGTTAATTTAATTTCAATAGTTTACTGATTTAAAACAAAAATACGTTTGTTTTATTTCATTTAATTCTTAGGATCTAAATGTATTTAATTTTTAAGTATGTACTACTATATTCTTTTTTGGTTATTTTTTTATTTTTTCTTTTATAATTTAATTTTTAGATCTTATTGTTTTAAACAGAAAACAAATATTTTATTTCATTTAATTTTTAAATATATTTTAATTTATTTTTGCTTTATTATATTTCCCATATTTTATTTTATTTTTGAATTTTATTATCATTTAGTTACTAGTGTTTCTTGTTTAATAATATATATATATATATATTTTTAATTTAATTTAAAAAAAGGTTATTGCTAGCCTCCTCTTTAGTAGGTCATTCAAGTTTCAAAAGAAAGTAAGGAGCTTTTAAGATAGTTGCCAGATTTGACAGTTGTCTTAAGAAAGACTTTTGTCTTTCGAGTGCCTGCGGTGAGTTTGAGACAGTTGCCAGAATTGCCTTTTAAGGTAAGTATTTCTTGCAACGCAGGTTCAAAAACAAAATATTTTCTTCGGTCGAACCTAGGAGTCGCCTTTTTATATTTTTAGTTGACATTGAAACAATAATTTTTTTTAAATAGGTCTGAAAAAAGTCTAAAATAGTTTTGCAAGGCAATTTCGAAAACCATTTGTTTTTTTGCCAAACCGAACGCGTTCTTTGTTAAATATTTCTGAAACAATCGAAATACTTCATTAGCAAAAGCTTAATAGTTTTTGGCAAGCTTTTAATTACTTGCATTAGGGTGGGACGTTAGGGTGATAAGAACTGAGATCTTCTGGGTAAGTACTAAAACGGAGTACTACTTGAGGTGAGCGAACTTTTAAACAAAATAAAAAATCGTCTTCTCGAGACAAAAACATAGATATACAATACTTTGAGATCAGACCGTAAATACAGAGGATATGACGAAAAATGTCAGAAGACGACCTCTACGTTCGACCAATGGTGTAATAGACTCACTTAGGAGCGACTTTACAGTGGGAAAGTAAGTTTTAGTCTGGAAATCTTCAGTCAACTTTCGAGTCTGAGTTTATAACACCCCTATTGCGAGTGTTGACTAGTAGCTCATCCGTCTAAGAACTAACAGTCGTAGAAGGATGCGCGACTTAAAATATTCACAGTCGCTTATTTGAACGAGAAATCGACATCAACAATACCATACGAATTAGCGCGCTGAGACTTAATCAAACGTTAGAAATTAAGGCTTCTCCAGGAAATCTGCTGCCGTTGCGCCACTTGAGGGTAGTGCAACCACCATTCGGCTTCCCCTCCCAACATCCACACTCCCAATCTTTACATGTCCCAAAAATGTCCGTGAAGATCCAATTAGCAGCTCTTGGTGCCCCACACTGCCTCTTCCGTGTGTTTGGCCAGAATACGCAAATATTTGACATCAGTCAAGCACCATCCTTGAATTTCTGGTAACATTTTTGTGTATGCTCTGGCCTACGCATTTCGTACATCGCATTGTGTTTTAGGACTCCGTCCATTAGACGAGGTTAATGACATCATGCGGATTAATTTCGATAGGGCTTAGTAAGCAACTATTCCAACAACAAAAGCGCCCCCACGGCAGTTGGGTTTACGTAACCGGAACGACCCAGATTTATATCTGACCAACAGCAGTCCAAAAGGTTGTATGTTAATTTTTCCATTTTAAATCAAACTAGATCATTTTATGGGATTATTAAAAATATTTTTTGTTTGTTTTCATTTCATATATGTACATATATTTGAGTTTAGTTGGTTATCGTGTTCACCACCTGCCACGCCATGGCCATTTTAAGATTTCAACTTAACGACTAATTGCTTCATAGGATGAGTGCTTATCTATAATTATTTTGTAGTCAACTTAGTAAAGAACGAATAGTATGTATGTATAATTAATAATTTATATAGATCTCAATAATACATTCTCGAATAATACATTTCAATGCGTACATGTGTTACACTTAAATATCGCTAAGGAATATTATCCACAAATCGAACAGGAAAATAGCAAACTAATTAACAAACTTCTAAAACTTTTAACTTAGAAATATTTTATTTAGTTTAGTTTGATGTAGTTCCTTTTCGTTACTTTTTACATTAAACGTAATATTTTTTTCTACAACCTGGAAGCCAACTCTACTTAAAACGAACTATGAATGTTTGCGTGTATGTGCGGAAATGAATACAAAACATGAGTTAATCCTTAAATACTTGAAACATCTGCCAATCTCTACCCTCGCAAATCAATATACTCCCGAAATAGGTACCTGCAAAACGCAAATGTACAACAAATAATGCAAAACAAAAGGAATCACAGAGTTCCTCAATTCAAGCAAATATGTACTTAAAATTATCGATACAGTTATGCATATACATATAAATCATTGAGTGTAGCTGCAGCGAAAATCACAATGTTGGCTTACAAATTACAAGTATGTTATGGTATACTATTTTGTATGAGGAAAATTGTAAGTTATGTTACTAGATAACAAACAGCTTGCAATTTAGAAAAATAAATAAATCATTTTGAGTAAAGCGATTAAAGCACAAATTAATAGTTATTTCTAATTTTTTTTTTTTAAATTTGATTTGTAAAAATTTGTATATGAAGGAAAATAATTTCTAGACTCGTGTCTAAATGAGCATGTTCATAACTATATATATGTATAGAGATGTATGTGTATAAATACGTGCTAATATATGCATGCATGTGTGTATGCTTCAAACTTATTTATCGCTGCTTAAACAAAATAAAATAATAATAAAGGTAAAAACAAAAAAAAAAAATAATAATAATAAGTTAGTGCTTACAATCTATTGGTGTTGTAGCTATAACTAACTAATATCTATTTAGTTTGGTCAGATCCGTACAAACTGCGAATAGTCTGGAACACCCGCTAACGAACTACAGACCTTAAATTCATTTTAAAGTTTTTAATCTTTATCCTGGCTCTGCATTAAGGCAGTAATCTCTTGAAACTTATGCATATAATCGACGCTGCTCTCGCTGATGACCGATAAATTCGACGAGGGGTCCTGAATGGAGTAAGGGGTTTATTTTAATGGTGAATTTTGAGCCAGTGATAGGTATTATTTTAAACTTACCAAAATATCACGACTTGTATTGATTTCGTCCAAGTGGCCGAGCAGACTAGTTAAGGAGAAATCATTAAGATTGTCTTCAAGCCAACGGGAATTCGAAGTAGATTCTCGTAGCAAATGAGTGGGTGTCATACCGTTGAAAGAATTTGCATCTGTAGGAAAAGAAATAAATACATTATGGTCACTTTAACACCCAGTGATTAAGATTTTCTAATAAAATAATGTTTAATAAACAAAAAATAATTTTAAAATGTTAAATACAAAATTATTTAATATTAAATCGAATTATAAATAAATTGAAGTTACNACCGTTGAAAGAATTTGCATCTGTAGGAAAAGAAATAAATACATTATGGTTACTTTAACACCCAGTGATTAAGATTTTCTAATAAAATAATGTTTAATAAACAAAAAATAATAATTTTAAAATGTTAAATACAAAATTATTTAATATTAAATCGAATTATAAATAAATTGACGTTATTGAAGAAATTCCATAACTTACTTGTACATTCATCAAAGGCGCTGTCGGGAAATGAGGATGAAAGCGACATGTCTGCATTATCCAGTCCGGAAGATTCAAAAATGTGAGCAACATCAACGTTGTTTGCAGTGATATCAGTCATTTCATAAGCCGCGGAAGTTGAGGGGTTATTCGCCAGCAGCCCCGTCTCTTCCACATTACTAGTTGCATCGTCACTGTCACAGTGATTTGTAAATGTATTAAAATGCGCGGAAGTACTAATTGGCGTCTGATTGTAATGTATTGTATGCGCTGCTGTGGTTTCCATGACTGCACTGGTCATAGGCGAGACATTTTGCTGGGTTGCATGAGATTCTTCGACCACGCTTTGAGTCGTGTCTGATACATTTTCAAACAANACATCAACGTTGTTTGCAGTGATATCAGTCATTTCATAAGCCGCGGAAGTCGAGGGGTTATTCTCCAGCAGCCCCGTCTCTTCCACATTACTAGTTGCATCGTCACGGTCACAGTGATTTGTAAATTCATTAAAATGCGCGGATGTACTAATTGGCGTCGGATTGTAATGTATTGTATGCGCTGCTGTGGTTTCCATGACTGCACTGGTCATAGGCGAGTCATTTTGCTGGGTCGCATGAGATTCTTCGACCACGCTTTGTGTCGTGTCTGATACATTTTCAAACATTTTTCGAGGGTTTTCGAAATTTTTCACATTTAAAAGATCATAAGTCTGATTGCCAGTATTACCACCAGGTAGCAGCATACGTTGAACCAGCACCTGACGCATTGATTGTTTTTGGCGAGACATCTATGTCAAAAAGAAAGAAATATATTTTTATGTAATTCTATTCTTCCTAACAAAAAAATCAATGCATTTTTGGACTTACCGGATTCAACTGTTTCACANTCTGATTGCCAGTATTACCACCAGGTAGCAGCATACGTTGAACCAGCACCTGACGCATTGATTGTTTTTGGCGAGACATCTATGTCAAAAAGAAAGAAATATGTTTTTATGTAATTCTATTCCAACAAAAAAATCAATGCATTTTTGGACTTACTGGATTCAACTGTTTCACTGTATCCATATTGAATAGCGGACGTCGTATAGGCACCACTGGCTGTCGAAAAACGGTATTGGTCTCGTTGGGGTTATTGGTGGAAAACGTTTTTGCGGAGACATAGGTCTTTGTGGCCAAATTGCGTTCCAGCTACATAAATAAATAATGTTTTTGTTTAGAATGATATTTCATACAATTTTTTTGATGCCCCACTTACTCTTGTTTTTGCTACATTACGATCACATATATGTCCACAGGAACACTGTCGTTTACGCATTCTTTCGCTCAAATTGGCAATCAACAGCAGATGCTTAAGTTTATTTGCAACGCCAGCGGAAGAAAGTGATTTAAGCAGTTCATGATCATCGCATTCATTTGGATTGTACGGCATACCACTTTGCTTTTGCATGAAAACTTTCGTATCCGACTGCGTCATGGAATCAAGTACAGTCGCAACGTTTGGACTACTGCTTCCAACTAGTGCCACGCTGCAGCCACCGGTGCCATTTATGGTGTTTGCATTATTCACAGCAGTACTTGTGCTAGCACCGTTCGCAATCGGTAGCGCTTGTTGCTGCCTATCTGTCCAGTAGTACTCCAGTTCGAGCTTAGAATCCTGCCCCAGAACCACATAAAGATCCCCGATGGTTATATCTGCCGCAGTTGAAACGGTCCAGCCCTTTCGTATGCGTCGTATAACTCCCTCACTGATGAGTGGCCTAAAATTGGGTGCACTGGTGCGTCCAGCACCGCGCGTATTAGCGTTTCGTCGCATACGCGTCTGATTGGCGGTAGTGTGTTGGTTGTGATTGGAAGTGTGGGGATTTGAATTTGTCGTGTATACTGTGTCACTTGCAGTTAAGGTTGACTTTACGTCCTCTTGCGAATTATCAGGCCCCTCCTTGATGTGCGCATTGTCATCCACTTCGGCATTCAACAACTCATGCAATTCATCACTCAACTCATCGCTGCTGCTTTCACCTTTATGTGGGCCCAACTCTTGATCTGGCGTTATGCCAATTTCTTCTTTAACCGCTGCATCACCAATATGTCCTTCACAATCAGTTTTCTCATATGGCGGACTACTTATTTGCTTATTTTTCTTCGAATCAGGTGATCGCTTTTCTGATCCGCTTTCCGTGCGTGGCCGTTTGTTAGCAGCTCTCTCCTGAAAAAGTGTTTCACCACGCACTTTCACACCCATACGTTCCTCATAAGCGGTAAGACAAATGTTTCCACTACCAAGGTATTCCGTTATGCTCAATAATGGGCGGTGTATAGCAACACCTGGTTTGGGTAAAAAACACATTTCAGGATCTTGGAAGGCGGGTATTTTCTCAGTGTTATCTGCTGACAGCACACCATTACACTCTGCTGAATGTGAAATGTTTGCTGCAGCACCAAGTAATGGAAATAATTTCAGTTCTTCTTCTGCCAGTTTTTGATCGGCGCTTTTCCATTTTAATTGAAAGGTTTTAATAAAATTTACAAGTTTCTTATGAAGTGGCACAGTGGTGCGAACACGAGGGTTTTGAGCGACAGTCTGAACGCGTCCGAATGCTTCCATGGTAGCAGGGCTGACAATCACTTCAATTTTTGATGGCAGACGAATATCCTCGAGGGAGTCTGTAATTAAGTAAAAAGTAAAAGTTAACTTTAGTACCACTTAAACCGCTACACAAGTACATACAATAATGTATATACAATGTGTACAACTTATGCTTGAGTGTATCATAAAATCATTCAGACTTATCCTCAGTTTCGTCCGAGAAAAAGTTCACCCGAAAATTTCTCATCCGCCCATAGTAAATACACGGAAACAAAAAGTGCATAGTGAACCGGTTCGGGGAAAATGAAACTCATGATAAGGCTGATTTATTATCATGCTGACTGTTATTACATATATTTTACTGGCCATTTAACACTATCAGCAATTACTTAAGGGGACAATTTTCACCAAGTGTCATGAAATATTTCCTTGTAGTTTACGTTATAAATAAATTTCGCATTATAGTAAACGTAGATACATACACATAAAGTCAAAGTTTCTTACCGTCTAATTGGTTCAGCCTTCGCAGTGCCTTACATGATGGTGTTTTAATGCGCAAATTCTTACCCTTGTAACGCACAGTTATGTGACCTTGGTACACAAGATTTCGCAATTTCATAAATTGTTTATCGCTTACAAATTGAAGTTTTCTTCGCATTTCGCCATAATTAATAAGCGCATACAACTCCTGAACAGGCTTCTTAACCTCTGAAATCACAACACAATTAATCCAACAATTAGGTATACATATTTACATAAAAATTCTATTGCCCAGGATGTACACTTACCATCAGAGAATTTCATATACTTGCAAATCTTGTGATAAGTTTGATAGTAGTGTTGACGCACTTGATCTTTCGTTTTGAAGGCCCCATCTGCCGAGCTTCTGCGTTTTAGTTTTGTATTTATATAATTGCCTACAGCTTCGAAGTCCTTGCCAAACTCGTTTAGAGCATCGAAAAAATGGTTACGCTCTAAATTTGTCCACGTCGGCTTATTACTACGCAATTGTGAAGGAGTTTTGTGTATTGTTTTTTCATCGCGTTTCTGATGATCGCGTTCATTTGGTGGTGGTGATAAAGGTCGTGTCTGATCTTGTTTCATTTTTTGAATGACTCGTGCACTAGCACGCGTCCCCGGACAATTATGCATTATCACAGAACCCAGTAGCTCAGTCACCTTTGAATCCCTCTGCAAATCAATCATTAAATGCGAATTCGATTTGGCACTGTGGAATTGCATATGTATACACATTTTGTAAAATATTACCTCATTACGCAGTTTCTCTTCGACGTTGGAGGATACTGCACACGTTGTTTTGCGTTCATTAACATTTTTTCCACCTCCAATAGCTTTAGCGCTGCTTATTGTAGCTGGTGCTACTCGTTCATTGATTCTAATTTGCGATTCACTGTGCTCCAGTGGCTCCACTGTCTCACCAATGTTTTCTTGTGCGGGCGGTACAGTTGTCGTCGTAATCGGAAGCGCCATCTGATTTCCAACGCCGCCCAGCGCATTTGCGCTCATTTTTGATGAAACCTATAATAAGCAGAATATGAAATTCAGCAAATTTTCCCGCACCTAAGGAACTTAAAGCTTAGTTGATCGATTTATGGAAAAATTGTAGAAAAAGTTCATAGGAATTTTTCACGCCCGACAAAGAAAATTTAATTGCGCCCTTACTACTTCGTCACCAGGCTAAAATTCAAAGTAGTTCAACTCCGCTTAAAAGTCAGAGATCCTTAAAAACTTGGTAGCAAAATGTTGAGTATGTTTTAAATTTTTATTTTTCACTAAATTTAGGAATTTTTAACATCGATTCACTGCAAAATCGCGCGATGAAATTCCAGTAAAATCTGTTGCGAAAACACGAAGTTGACAACTGACAAAAATGGCGCACGACTTTCGATTCGTTGATAGTCCCCATATTCAGTCTTTTTATTTATTTTTTGGCAATATTTTTGCAAAACTTTGTTCCAAATAATATGCAGCATAAATTTACCTATTCAACCGCCCAACTCCAGTGCTTTTTTTATACAAAATACATTAAGAAAATTACACTTTTCACATTGTTTTCGTTTATTTGTTTATGTCCAAAGGATGTTAAATTTCGATTCCCCCTTTTATTTCTGTTTCGGCAGATTCGTTGTTGTTGTTAACATGTTGAAGATTTTTGTTTACATTTTTATCTGTCAAAACATGATTCATGAAGGTCGGTGTTATGTAAACAAACTTTTGTTCGGCGAACAGGATAAAAGAGAACAGCCGTTCGCATTCGCACTATCCAGCAAATCCAGTACTAATTTTACTTGTTTTTTACAGGATGTCGTTTTCGTATGCAAAAACTTGCAAGAAACTAGCAAAAGAGGGGAAAAAGGGAAATGTTTAGTAGCGCTCACATCGTTTTTGGGGTGGGGGCGGAGGGGGAGGGGCGGGGCGCCTCAAACTCCCCTCACTAGAAAGAGGACAGTCCCCGCTTTCTAAAAAGGCGAAGGTCCCCCTTGGGCTCCTCCCACAGGCCCCTAGGCAACCGTTTGAATAAGGGGGAAAAACGGAATTTTCTTAGGCAAACTGAGCAGTTGGAAGTGGAATATGACCCAACTAACAGAATCCGTGGGATTTTTTAATAAAATAAATTATACCAAATTAGATATCGGACGATTTGAATAAAGAATAAAAAAGTTGATTAAAAATAGAGAAAACAAGTTTTTATAAAAAAAAATGTTCTTTTTAACAAATGTATTTCTGCGTAGAATTCCTTTTTGCGTAGGCGGCCATCGGCCGCACTTAGGTATTATAACCCTCAGGCAGTAGAATTCTCCTTTCTGTGTTGCCAAAGAAGGGGGGCTTAACCCCTTTCGCAGAGAACACCTTTCTGCGTAGGCGGCCTTTGGCCGCACTTAGGGATTATAACCCTCAGGCAGTAGAATTCTCCTTTCTGTTTTGCGAAGAAAAGGAGCTGAACACCTTTCAGAGAACAACTTTGTATAGTTTTAATGCTTACTGGGTTATATCCTATCTTCTTTTGTCTCTCATTCTTTTGCATATTTTGGAGTTTGACAGCTGAACTCCGCCATTTAATTTGCATATGCAACCAAAGTCAGACGCGTGATTTTGAAGGTGTTTTTATTTAATGAATTGTGATTAATTGGTTAATATTAAAGTGGTAAAGCAAGTTATAACTAATCGAGTAAAGTGTAAAGTGAAGCGGAATACAAAAATGTATTGGTGAAGTGGCTGCTTTAAGGGAAATAG